CTCCATCTTGTTTCCCCTGTCTGTTATCACTCGGATGCGTGGCTCATGGCTGGCAATGTCAGCCTGGATGACTTGGTGTCTATTCAGAAGATTCTTTGATGTAATCAGATCCTTGCCTACAGAGAAACAATAAGTTTAAGGTCTGGTATTGTTGTAGTGTATGCAATAAGAAGAGGCTACTCTAGTCTTGAATCTACAAGTTCTCTCCTTTGAGGTTCTAATCCCTGAGTGGGCTTGTTGAAATCTATATTATTTGTCTGAGTTATTTCTGCTTCTCTGTACTAAGAAAATTCAATTCTTTCATCACCATAAAATTGGCACAATGTTAGCTGTTTTAAATTTTTGTTTGTAAGGATTAGATATAACATAAAAAGTGCCTCACTCATTGCTTAACATTAATCAGATTTTTAAAAAAATATGTTTTTATTCAATTCAGAGAAAGGAAGGGGGAGGGAGAAAGAGATAGAAACTTCAATGATGAGAGAGAATCATCGATTGGCTGCCTTCTGCATGCCCCCTACTTGAGATTGAGCCTGCAAACCGGGTATGTGCCCTGACTAGGAATTGAACCATGACCTCCTGGTTCATGGGTTAGACTTAACCACTGCACCACACTGGCTGGGCTCACTGCTTATCATTAAAAAGCATATAATAAATACTGTCTTATTAACTTCCTCCATCCTCCTAGATCCCTAGTGAATCCTCCCCGTCTCCCATTCATGCTTCACCTCTTTTTCCTTCAAAATTTCCTTCCCTATACTTCACACTAAATGCCTCACTAGAAATTTCCTATGCCCATTCACCTTTCAAAGAGATCTTTCTCTTCTCGGAAGTTTTCCCAGACTAGCCTTCCATTGCCACCATTGTCTCTAGACCCTTATAGATGTTCCCAATATGTGCATATTAAGTTTACATTATATTTATGTCCACTTTTTTCTCTATTTCAATGCAAGTGTCCTAGCACTGACAATGGTAAACCGATAGCTTCCAAAGAAAACGGAAATGTGTCCTTTGTCTGCTACTTCACCCCTTTTATGTTTGTAATAGCTCATTTGGTTATAAAAGGGATTCATCAACAATATAGACAAAAACTCTTGGTACCTCAAACACTAACCATGCCTGCTCAGCCAAGAACCTTGGCAATAATCTACATTAGAGCAAGTAGCCAAGCGCAGAGCACTTTAGCTTCCAAAAGACCTTAAGTTCATGACCCTGTTCATGTCGATTTTAGGACATAAACTTTTAAGTTCAAATTTTTCAAACAATTTCTTACGGAAGATTGGGAGGAGCTGAGAGCAAGCTTTGCCCCACCCTCTATTGTATCCCAGATCCTTCAAACAATCTGCAGGCCTGGGGGCTCGCCCTACAGCTCCATCGCTCAGTCTGCACTAACCTAGCAAGGTGGAGGCTGCTGAAGGTTCGGTCTCTTGGATCCAGGCCTCCTCATCCTCCGTGTCTCTGCAAATCTGCTGCAGGCGGAGAATGTCAATGAGCTTCTTCTTCCGGGTCGCCAGCGGTTCCTTCAGGGCTTCAAACCGCGACACCAGGGACTCCTGCCGGGCCCGGATGTCCCCAGCATCGGGATGGCCGGTTTCTTCAAAATACGTCGCCAGGTCTGTGATGGTGTCGACTTGTTCCTAAGGAAGACATTGAATGTGTGTCAGGAAACCCTGTCGTTCAGTAGGAAGGGATGAGGGTTCGGTGAGAGGCCGTGGAGAGAATCAGCCGCATTCTGTACTATGTTAGGACTTCTAATCAAATCAGTGAACTCGAGTTGCTGCTTTGAGGACCATTTCATCAATCTAAAAGAGAGATTTGTGGGAAAGTAGCTTTCAAACCCCATGTCAGAAAAGACTAAATATTGATGGTGTGTGCCAAGGGAAGCAGAGATACCAGAGCTATAGAACCTTAACTGTGTAGGACTATTGGTAAGTTTGGTCCTAAGGAAAATGGTGCCTGGCTTTTTCAACCTCAGTTCCCCTTTCATCCTCTTCATCTCCCTTTAAAATGAGCTATAATTGTAAATAACATAGACACTTCTGAGGCTGAAGTCTGTTGCATAGCGGGAATGATTCCTATGAGATTACATGTG